ATGGGTTTTTGCTAGTATAAAGTATTCATAACGTTATGATCATACCGTACTGGATTTTGGGGTTCAAACAAAATCAGCGCATATGCAATGCTGGTAATCAAATAACTGCAAAAAGGACTAGATTAAGTTCTGAAATTGTTGACCAAATTTTATTTTTAAAAAGAAATGATTTTTATTGTAAATAAAAAATTAAATTTATGAAAATTTTATAATAGTTATTTTACTTTAACTAAATATGGCAATGGTAATTTTGTAACCGGTTAAAAACAAGCTATAACTGGTCAACCGTTTTAACCACGGTTAACCGGTTAAAACGGTTAAACAGTGCCAACGTCAATATTGTATCAGTACATTCAATAAAAAGATGAAGGAATTTGCTGAATTTAAAGTGCTATTATCTCCATCCAAAATATAGAGGTAATAAAGGTTTTAGTATTATAAATATTTTTATTATTTGAATTTTAATATTTTAACCTAAAATTGTTAAATAATAAACTGCCCTGTTAATAATTACTGGGTGAAACTATTAAATTCATTACCAGTATAACTCGAAAGATGGAATTTACCAATAAATGAATTAATGAACTTTATACTCAGTTCAGGCAATATATATTGACGCTGATGTTGAGACGTTGGCGGCGAGAGGTTCATGTTGTAATTCTCGCGACGAAATACCATCATGATGGCCTTTAAAAGATACCGAATAAAGAACCTTTAGATACACCACTCGCTCGGTTGATATGATTTGATGAAGTTGATTATCTTCAAAATATTGCAATTAAAATCTTTTCTCTTTATTCTCATAATGTCAGTTGCAAAAGATTTTTTTCCCATATTTAGCCAACAGCAAAGTGGGTTAAATACTCAGTTGGTAGAAAACGTGGGTAAATCCACTCGTACTTTGTTTAAAATGCTAAAAAATTTTTGTCATGTTGGAACAGATTTATCAGAAGAAAAGTGAATAATATGAAGAATTTGATTTAACAATTTTAGAACTTGCCAATTCAATTCTATAGTAGTAGATTAGAGATTGGGCACCGTTAACCGTTTAACCGGTTAAAATTTTGTTTTAACCGGTTTTGATAGGTTTTTTGCAGACGTTACATGAAAATCGGGTAAAGACTTTTAATGGTGGTGACTATTTTGGGTATAACAGGAAATTTTTATATCCAAAATCAGATAAAGCAATTTTTATGTCATATTAATATGAAATTACGGGTAAATATGCACCGTGTTATTTAATTTTTTTTTCCTTAATATGAAACTTGTAAATTTTAAAATTTCCCATCGATCTTTTTTTTTTTTGGATAAGAAAAAATTAATTAATTGTTAGTAATTAGTATATATATTGATAGTGCAGGACATCTATAACTGTCAAGGATTATCACATGACTTTAAAAGTTTATAACTCCTTATAAAAAGAAAAAAATAAACCGATAGAATTAAAGCTAGAGACCCAAGCTTCATTTCCGTCGATTTACTTTTTCATTTTATTAGAAAGCTTTGAGTTATAAGGTTTCAAAGTTAGAACATTTATATGTGTCTATATAATAATAATAATAATAAATTGTAAAATTTCGGAATCATCTTTTGTGTTGGTGACCCGGCTTAAAAAATCCCGTGATACAGAAAATCCTTCCAATAAAAGAAATATGATTTATTTAAATTTTTTTTTAAATTTCGGGACTGACGCATTTTATAGTATTAATAGAATAATTAAGAAAAAAGTCATTATTAACTATTATGTAAATTTAATTAAAATAAATAAATATATTCATACTCCATTTAATATGATTTAGACAATTAATAAATCAACTGCAATTAAGTACTAAAAGAAATGATTTTAGTAATTTTTTTACTTTAACTAAATATGGCAATGTTCGAACCTTAAGATTTCGCTGATCCAAAACTGTCCTCCATATTACCAACCTCTAAGATATCCATTTGATATAAAATATTTTTTGAAAATCTTTCTTTTCGAAATATGCGCGAATCAGGTTATAAATAGTAAAAATATGGCTAATGTATGATATAATCAAAAAAGAAAAAAGGTTTCTTTTCTTTCACAATGAAGATTTTTCATTACTAAAGTCTTCACCCATCGGCAATTTCACCTATAAAAGCAATTAATTACTCAACAGACACCGGGAAATTTTTTTTACAGGATTTACACAGATTGTGTTATATAATTATATTATTTTACATATTATGTTTATATTTTAATAATTTATAATTAATATTATTATAATATCTATTGTTTATTTCTATTAGTCGCGTGTCAATAATTCCTTTAACTATAGTAATAGATCTATTTTTGAAGAAGAAGAATGAGGGTTCCTTAGCAAAAACCGGTTCCGAGGTCCTCTGACCAAATTTAAGTCTCTTACATAATATTAATCTATAAGCTATAAGCTATACACATGTAAACTCGATAAGTCGGATGCTTGTTTAAAGTGCTCGATAATACATGTGTAATTGGTGAAAACATTAGACCCGTTTACTTAGTACAATAATGAAATACAAGGCTTGAAGTATTTACTTTATATATAAAAAACATATGCGCAACATATTTGCAGAGATCGTCATCCAAAAATTTATAATGTTAACTAGAGAACCCCAAATATTGATACAATGTTATTATTATATACAATAAGAATTATCATTAGTAGTATGCGTAACGATGATTCGTTTAACCGTAGATCTATTTTTTTGAAGAAAGACAAATATTGACACAATGTTATTGTTAATAGTACGCGTAACAATATTTCGTTTAACCATAAATCTATTTTTTTGGAAGATAAATATTGACACAGTATTATTTATATACAATAAAATATGAGCAAGACATTTCGTCACCTTTAGTTTCAGACATGAAAAGTCTATCAAATATATCAATAATGTCTGATTCAATTTGTTTCAAATCTTTTTCTAGCATATATTGTGTTACTATCATGCTGAATAAAACAGTGGTGGCAGCAGAACGCAACTCATCATGATGAGACAGACACAATTCTAACATTGGACCTAATAATGTGTTTATGAATCGAACTTGATAACCACCCATTTTCCCTTCTTTACCCTGTTCCCATCCAATAGCATTCCATAATGTTGATAATAATTTTGCTCCTTGTCCACGAATATCACCTGCCAACCTCCATATTGCACGACGTTTTTGTGGCGTGAAATCTTCAATCACTAGATGTCTACTGGTAAGCAGACATAAAAGACAATTGAAATATTCTCTCCAAAGTTCTTCATTAAATGAATTTGGTGCTTCTTTATCTGGTATATAATTTTTTTCCATCATTATTGATATTGGTTCAAGGACTTTTAAAAAGGTTTTATGAGCTATCATATTCATATTTAACCATGATTTTGGAAATGCATCATTTATTAGTACTGATCGTGCGACTTGGAACAGAATAATCAGAAATTCTGCTGTAGAATCATGACCTTCTCTATAATAAGTTGATAGAAGATGCTCTTTCATGTTTTTTTGTGATACTAAATATATTATTTGTAATAAAACTGTTGCTATTTCACCCAAACCACTAGACATTTTATTTGACGATTGGAAAAAGGGAAAATCTTTTGAGTATCTATATGAATTTATGGTTGATGGTGTTCCTGAATTATTTGTTAAATTTGAAGAAGACAAGGGATTTTGCTCATGATGTAAACTTTCATGTTCATCAAAAGAAGTAATATGTAATTCTCGATAAGATTCACAGAGTTTCATCAACAATGGAAGAAGCACCATCACATTTTCAATTTCTCTTTTAGTTGATTCTTTGTCATTTGAAGCCTTTTCAATTGAATTCTGTAGGATTTCCAACATAACTGCCAAAATAGACACACACAGCCTAATACCATCTTGCCATTGTAATCTCGCAGCTTCGTAATCATTAGTTTGTTTATTTGTAACTTCCCATCTACCCATATGATCAGAAAGCCATTCAACCACTCTAGGTATTAGGGTTGCTCTAGACTCGGGATTTTCAAATAATGGACCGCGACAAAATTGTAGAATCACCAAAAGTTTATAAGCTAAAAGTTTACCTTTAGGCAACCGAACCGATTCAGTAAATCGTATTGCAATCAATATTAGGTCATCAGATGAGAAACATTTGCCAAGGTCAGTGAAAATAGAACCAAAATGTTGCAAGGCTAATGCCTGAGTACCAATTATTGATTGTGGTGTGGTAATTGACATTAATTTGTCTATACTTTTAAATAAAGAGAAAAGATCAGTTTTAAATTGTTCTTCAACATAATTTCCTGACAGACCCATATCTGTTTCTTTTGTTCTTTGCAGTTCCCTGGATCTCATGATAAATTTGAAAATGTATTGCCAAACTTTGATAGCAGAACGTAGATTTTTTGCAGTTTCTACACCGGTTGGATTAGAGACTAAATGGTTCATTGATCTGATGAAATGAGATGAAGCAGCAGCGCAGGAAAAATGGTTTTCAATATATACATCAAGTACAGGCTTAAAATTCATAAATCTTCTGTCAGAAACTATTCCAAGAATAGTTACTAATGCATTAAATATCAAATCATCTAGTTCTCCTTGTTGGTTCCTTGCTGATACCAAAATACCAAATAATGCATCAAAAATATCTTGAAGAAATTTAACAATTTCCACCTCACTAACAAAAGTAAATTTTTTTAAAACTGACTTCAACTCATTTTCATTTGATAATAATTGTTTTTCCCAATTTAATAGCTTGAGTAATACTTCATTCTGTGTATATTTTGTAGAACATAAATAAGTCCAAATTACAGCTGTATCTTTTAATGGGGAGATCAATTTATGTAACGACATTTGAGAATTATTTGTGAGATGTACAGAGGCTGTATCAACTATTGTGGCTAGTGATGACCAGGGCACACTTAAATAAGATGGAGGATTTATTAGTTGCTTATCATATTTGTATAAAGTCAAAGTATGTTTTCCATCACTAATGAAAGCTCTTTTCTCAGGAAATAGTGGCAAGTACCCAAAAGCAAAAAATTTATCTTCTTTTTTATCTTTTGTTGTTCTATGTTTAAAAGTTAAAAAAACATGAGCTTGCTCAAATAAAGCAGATGGAATTGTCAATTTTATAAATTCACCCCAAGTTGGATTGTTTGAATGATAGAAAACAATTGACTCAAACTGTGTTACAGGTGGTTCACCAGATCCTTGAGAGATGGCATTTTTTAAAACTTCGCCAGAACTTAATCTAACTTCTGCCGTTACTTGAATATTTCTAGCAGTTGTGGTTCTACCTTGTGTGAAATCACCAGACCAAAGTTTAAGATAAATTTCGTTCCTTACATCACCTGGAAATACCACATCAGCAAATCCAAGACGAGATGTAATAGTGATATCTTGAAGTAGAGCAGTATTTTCCTTGATGATTGTTGTAGCTTCACCATAAAATGAACGAATTGATACACTGATCATCTCTGCTCTTGGAGATTTTTCAAACTCTTTAACACGGTTATAAATAATGTCTTCATGCAAAATAGCGAAAGTAGATCCTTGAGTTGGCACATAGATTTGCATTACGTGTTCACTCATAGATTCTTTTTCTTTTCCTTGGATCAAATGAGTTATATCAAGTATAGCACAGCCAAAGGGTCTACGAAAAGTTTGTGGAGATAATCTTATATTGGTACTATTATTGCCATTGGAATTATTTTGCGAAGAAAAGGATGATGATGATGATTTTACAGAGTTGCTGTCTTTTGAAAAGTCTTTATCTTTGTTTTCCATTTTCATGCTTCCTGTACGAATGATCCTACAAATAAGAAAAACTTGATCTTGAATGTCATGAGGAGAAAGATCAGTAAACAATGTTCTGATTTTTTGAATTTTTGATTCATCCTTTGGTACACCATTATGATTAAGTATAATACAATATTCTTCTGTAATAAATCTTGAATCTGTTTTCGTGTACAAAGAAAAATATAATTCAGTGTATTCACCAAAAGCAGAAATTGAAGCAACCCAAGCTTTTAAATCCAAAAACACATGGTAAAACTTTGGTGCGTGACTAACACTATCATTAGTGGCAATTGTTGGTATTGTTGTGTAAGAGGAGGAATTATTTTGCAGTAAAATAGCGGGGAGTGACGGTGATGTTATTGATGGTGAATTTAAAATAGTAGGGCTATTGAAAGGTAACGATGAATCATGTTTTAATTTTTCTGCATTGAGAATTGATAAATGACCTTGCAATTGATATAGACGAATAGCTGATACATTTGTTTCATCAGCAAGAAAACCTTTTTCGGGATGCCTGACAATAATATCTAAATCTTGAATTATGTTACCAGAAACAAGTTTATTGATAAGCTCTTTACGTAGCTTGCTCAGTTCATCTTGAGATAAAGTTTGAGCAAGTAGTTGCCTTCGACCCTGTAATAAATCATTTATTTGATCTTTAACAGTTCTAAACATGGAGTATCTTCTTTCTTCCAAATAAGTAGGTAAAAGACTACACCATTCTCTGACTGCGCTTGAAATTTCATCTATCAAAGGTTCATTCTTTCCACTTATTGTATCATCACCACATTCAAGTGAAGGTAGTGGTGGAGGAGGCCTGTCATTATCATCATTGTCATTAATAGAAGCAGGTTTTTCATTTTCATTACGAGTAGTAGAATCAAGTGAAGCAGCATCATTAAAAGATTTTGTTGATTCGTTAACTTGTAATTTGACATCATCAAGATATTCTTTTATATATACATGATTTTTTGGGAAAATTCCAACAAACACCTGAGGTTCTCCAGTCTGACATGATTTAGAGACAACATAACCACGATACCAAGCACCTTGTTCTTCAAAAACATAAACTTCATCGCCAACTTCAAGTGCAACTTGATATGATATTACATGTGAATTTCTTATATATGATTTTGAAGATATTGATGCTGAATCCGAAGAAATGACATTATTATTTGCATTAATAATAATTTTGTCACTAGTACTACTAATACCATCATTATCTTTTTTTATATTATTTTCATGATTCCCTGATTCATCTAAAACCTTTTCATTGTCAGGTTGAGAATCATGATCTACTAATTTATGATTTGAATTTGAATCAGAATCAATTTTATTATCTTTTTTAGAAATTAAATCATTTTTTTCATTAGATTTTAAATCAACAACACCATCGACCTTTTTATTAACATCTGATTCATTTTTATTTTTGTTATTATTATTATCACTATTGTTATTATTATTATTAACTATCGGTACTGATTCATTTATGCTTTGAGCATCTTTTATAGAATCTGACGAAGAATTGTTTTGCGCACCAGGAGTAAAAGGATAAATAGCAAATCCATAAGCAAATTGTGTCAAAGGCGTCCAAGCAGAAACAGCGGATGTGCTTGTTGTAATTATTGGCATTTTTTTTTTAGAAAAAATAAAACTGAAGAATAAATAAATAAAATATATTTTTGGGTCGATAGATGAATGATAACTGAAGGAAAGTAAAATGTTAAATACAAATTTACCCAAAAAAAAATGAAAAATGAAGATTATTACACTTTCAAAATTGGGCTGAATATGAATTGAAGATTGTAATATTTATTATTTCTTAAAGCAGAAGGTTTTTTTTTTTTTTGAAAAAAAAAAAACAATTGAAATCATATGTATGCTATGTTATTTGTATGACAATTTAGTTACCAATTATTTATCGATTCATTTTTGAATACGAATACAAAAACTTTGGTAAACAAACAAAAATATGATAAAATATAGATCAAATATTTTCAACCACTCGAAAGTCACATGATATTATAAAATAGGATCACCGCAAAATTTATCCTAATTAAGAAATGATATTCGATTTTAGAATTGGAGTATAGGGACATTCAGTATGGTATAAC